ATATGTATATATGTATATAAGTCAGTAATCATAACTTCAGTCAGTTAAAACATCATAATCATGATCTGAAAAGTTTACAATTAAGTTTTACAACTAAGCACCCAAATACAGTAACAGGCAGTGATGTGCATACAAGGATTAAGTCTTGAAGATATAAAGTAAATAAATTAGTTGGCATCAGCGCAGAAACCATAATCCACTTACTATACATAATCCATTGCGATTTATTTGTTATTAAATAAACGTAGGTTTCGCCAGATTGCCTTTCATTGAAGTCTTCGGTTTACCCGCGCTCATAACATTAGCACAGAATCAGTGGTCCAAAAGAACCAGTTCAGTTCAGACGTGCTGTGTCAGTCATAGTAGGCAGTCTGTTTGGTAGCTTCACGCTGAATCACGCATGTGCAGTATCATCAGCTCATCTGTTCTCGGTTCTCAGTTCAGTGTACCAGTGATCCGAAAACTGATGCTACCGGTTCTTGACTCAAGAACGAGAACCGCTCTAACCGGCACGCTGCACGCACGTTCAGTATATCATCAGCTGCTCTACTTGTGTTCATGTTCTATTTACTACAAACTCAATTTGTGAAATGTGTCATCGTTAACTATAATTACAGTACAGGTATTTAATAAATCATCCTTTATTCCTATTAAACATAGAGTCTTAATTATTGTCCAACTTCCCTGACAAACCCCTTTGGCCTATAACCTAACAGAATCTTCAACTGAACAAAGTACACAGATTAGATGCATTCATCTTTAAAAATAAAAGTAAAATAAAATATATTTATATTATCACACTTTCTGATGTTTAACAAAATACTTGGATAACATGCTTTTCGACCTCTTGAAAAATTACACGCATGCGCAGTATCATCAGCTCATCGGTTCTCAAATTGGACGTGTCCGAAAGAAATGATTCTCGGTTGAGTGTACCAGTGATCTGAAAACCGATGCAACCAGTTCTTGACTCGAGAACGAGAACCGCTCCAGCAGTGGGCGTGTACGTTTGTTATCCAGCTCGCTGCACACATGCTGCTCTGCTTGTGTTCATCTTCAGTTCTCTCTTCACAGCAGTTCAGTCAGTGTACTGTTTGAGTAAATGGATTACTCCGGGTTTATTTCGACTCACTAAAAAAGTGAATAAATTAAGTCATTTGTGGATTAATGCTTACTGGAGATGCGAACCATTCAGACGATTCAGTCCGATTTGGAGAACTGGTTCAACCGGTTCACTAAGAAGAACTGGTTAAATCGAACGATTCGTTTGCGAACGGGACATCACTAGAATAGAGCTGCTCCATTACAGCTCGGACCTGCTAAAAACATCTGTTTTGGTTCTGAATATCATGTTTATCGCGCTGAAATCATGCGTTTTAAACCATATGAGTTTAAACTTCTGATATACGGTTTTCTGAGAGCACACATCCGAAGCACACGGACAGAAAGCGGCTGTCACAGCACGTGAGTACTAAACTAAGTTCTCATTCACACACGAGTTACAAAAACAGTTGGTTATGTCTGTGATTGTAAACTGCTGGGAAAGAAATTGCATGTTTATTTTAGATCTGTGTGGCAGCAACAGTAAATAAATCAATAAATCTCTCTTGTCTCCTCTGAGGCTGGGACTCTAAACGGTGTTCTGTGCTTGTCTGTGCAGCCAAAGACAGAACAGTTAGCGTGTTTTTCTCAAACTTTCGCCATGGCATTAGAGCTGGTACACCGTTGTCTCTTGCGAAATCAAAATGACGGCGCCGTGGGTGTAAATTTACAGATTAAGGGGCGGTAATATTATAATGAGATCCCTTTGCCATGTCACCAAGTGAGCAAAATCTGACGCGCTGGTTTTTTCAGAGGCTTGAAGAAAAAAGGCTTACCAAAACAAAGTTACTGGGTTAATCTTTTTCACGTTTCCTTGGTTGATAGATGCACTGGGGACCTGATTATAGCACTTAAAACCTGGAAAAGTCAGATTTTCATGATATGTCCCCAGATAGCAAGCACACTCGGGCCGATTCCGGCTGAAATGCGGCACTGTCGGCTTAGTCTCGGCATCGGCGAGAAGATAATGGGCCAGAGCCGTGCCGACTCTACAAAACACTTCTGACTGACAGACGGCTTTTTCTCTATGGGCTGATCTCGGCTGAAAGCAGTTGTACTTGCAGCAGGTCCACACTCGGTGTAGTTGTGTGTATTTATCTTCAGCCCGAGTTCGTTTTATCACAGACGGGCCGCTGCTAGAATGAAGGAAATCAGCCGCCTGAGAGAAAGATTTGGCGGTTAAATCCTAAGGAGGTTTCGGCAGGCACCGTTTTCAAGAGGAATACTTCAGCTGCAAAAGGTAACTAATTAAATATATTTGACGTACAATCTAGTGTTGTTTGATGTTTTAAATGTCACGAAGAGTAACGTTATAGTTTTTAGATGTTTCTGTTAGAAGGTTTGCGATGATAACATAACGTCAGAAAAACCATTCGGTTCGGAGATGGAGTGTTGATAAGTATGTTTAGAGATTAGAAGAACCTTTATGTAATTTTTTAATAGAAAAAAACTGTTGAGCTGTATCCAGTGCACTAATGTCAACTAATGAAATTATATTTAGTTATATCTCAGTTTGCTAAAAATTCAGTCATTCGATTCGTCTTTTTTAACGAGTGATTGCTATTGAATCATATCGGACTGCGCTGGTGGCGCCTAAAATATCTATACTGGTGGTTCTGTCTGATTTAATTCATTTAACCTTTAAAAAGAGTCATTTGTTTGTAAATCAAACTACACTGAGCACGCTGTTGTAGCGTTACACCCGATAAGACAATTCAATATATGCAATCTGAATTTAATAATAATATTTATTTTGTGGTAACACTGCCCGTGGGTGAGCTCTGATACAGAAAATCACTATAGATACGTAAGAGAAAGACATAAAATGTAAGTGCATCTTCTTTTGTTCTTGAATGGAGGCCTAATCTGTACTGCACTAGAGTATTTTTAGAGTGAACGAAAACTTTTAAAGCATATATGCCGTATACTGTGATTAAATTCATACTTAACATATTTTACTACTGTGGGGATTGGACTATTATGAGCAAACAAATTTAAACGTTTAATCTGAACGCACTTTATAATCTTGACATAATTTTTGAAATTCTGAACTGCTGCATGAACTCGTGCATGAACATTCATCAAACATATAAGGTGCAAATTCTGGGTCTGGTCCTAATCCTAATGCATAAGATTTAACAATGACCTTACAATATATATTTATACATATATTCCTATATTTCAAGGCTGCAATTTGGAAAAACCTTCAGGCTAATGCTGCTGAAACGTTGGTCAAGAGGACCATGAAGAGGTGACACCAACTGGCAGATCATACCGTTTTTCAGGAGGCAGGCACACTGTGAGTTTAAAAGTCCCATCTCTTTAACCCTGCATGCACATGACACGCGATCACATTTCTATCATTCAAATCCCTTAAAGGAATTTTTATGCTGCAACAATTAGGGTAAGCAGAACTGGCAACACTTCCCATAATATCTAACATACTTTTAATTTGTAAGAAGAATGACATCAATGCTTATATTAGTCGCTTATATACTGTCTCCCCCTTATCCCTAGGTTACAGTAATCAGCTGATCCAGTCGGTATCCAAACCAGAAGGTGGACCTGCACCCAAGAATGACCACAACACATCCCAGAACATGTCAGCTAGATGACAGATCCCTGTGAAGACCTCATTGATGGCCCCAGCACAGATCATCAACAAATACTATGAGAACCAGACAAGCCCTCTGCACGGACCCTTTTACCAGCTTCACCTGCTGGCATGATGTTTCTTCAAGCAAAAGAAGTTGGATGAAATATTCTGAATGATATCAATCCACAATCTGATTTGTGATGCAGCCCTGAATAATCACACCACGTTCATTTGTTTGGCCAGAGGAGAACTGGTTTACTGACTGAGCCTGGTTTTGATGTGGTTTGGGTTCTTTGCTACTGTTGCCTTTTGTCTTGCTTAGTTGAAGACACCTAACCAGCTGCTCGACCTCCTGTCTGTAAGCAGACTCGTCACCATCCTGAATGAGGCCGATGAGTGTGGTGTCGTCTGCAAACTTCAGGAGCTTGACAGAGGGGTCTTTAGAAGCAATATTATTGACTTGACTGAACTGACACCATTAGATAAGTACTGAACTGACCTGAAATATGGCATCCCTGTTTACTACATAATGTTGTTGTTTTTTAAATAATATACTGTAAACATAATTTACTTATTTTGTGCTTTAAAAGGTGTGTTAATGTTTATATTGTAGTGCATTTGTTCATTGTTAATATATATATATATTAATATTAAAGTATTTGGTATTTTTTTAATTAAAGCCTTTAATCTTTTTAAATGGTTGTATTTGTGTTTCACTGTTGAATTACATTTAGCAGTTTCTGGGCCAGACCTGGGCCACATAAAATAATATAAGTCACTCTACATTATGCGGGCCAGATCTGGGCCAAGTCAATAAATAAGTCATTTTACAGGGTGTGGGCCGCATTTGGGCATCAACACGCTGGGCAGGCCAGTGGCCTTGCACCTCAAGCCGCGAGCCCAAAATCAAGCCGTGTTTCCACTGTCAGACCAGCGCTACTGTAGAGCCCTCCCTTAAGACGCCTCTAAAGCAAATGTCACACAACACCAGCATTTCACCAGAGAGGGGGAAATTAATGAAAGTGATATCGTAAAACAAACTTAACAGAAACAGACATTTGGTCCTTACATAAAGACTTAAAGGTGGGGTAAGTGATTTTTAAAAAATGCTTTAGAAAACTGATTTGGGCCGACTAGCAAAACAAACTTGTAGCCAATCAGCAGTAAGGGGCGTGTCTACTCATGATATGGAGGAGAGAGAGTTCAGTACACAGGACGGACATTAGCTGAGCGACAGAAAGATAGAGATGGCGGATAAAAAAACAAAAGAGGAAAACGTCTGCGGAACAAAAGAAGGCTTAAGGCAAGAAGTAGGACCCGTGTAAATATCGGATCAGCTTTCCAGCGCTGGAGAGAACTCAAGGAGCAGAAGGCCTGCGATCAGACGCCGAGGTTGCTTTGTATCTTCTCGATAAGTGAGTAACACCGTGTCTGTGCCGCAACAGCTAAAGTCTGTCTAGTACACTGAACGCGACAAAGCGACCATTAAAAATCATTTGGAATTTGTGTCAATACGTCATAAATAAAACGCAGCAGCAGTTTACTCTCTGGGATTTGTCGTGTCGTGCCGCGCCGCATCCAGTGTAGACCATGACATTAGCCGAGCCGAGCGACAGAAAGATAGAGATGGTGGATAAAAAAACAAAAGATAAAAAACAGAAAATGTCTGCGGAACAAAAGAAGGCTTAAGGCAAGAAGTAGGACCCGTGTAAATATCGGATCAGCTTTCCAGCGCTGGAGAGAACTCAAGGAGCAGAAGGCCTGCGATCAGACGCCGAGGTTGCTTTGTATCTTCTCGATAAGTGAGTAACACCGTGTCTGTGCCGCAACAGCTAAAGTCTGTCTAGTACACTGAACGCGACAAAGCGACCATTAAAAATCATTTGGAATTTGTGTCAATACGTCATAAATAAAACGCAGCAGCAGTTTACTCTCTGGGATTTGTCGTGTCGTGCCGCGCCGCATCCAGTGTAGACCATAGATATGTATATATATCTATGGTGTAGACAGCATCACTGATTACAGTGAGTTCCATAGTATTTTGTCGTACCACGCCACTTGCGTCCGGTGTAGATACGGTGTAACATTGGTTTTGCTTTGTTTCAGAACTAATCGTTGCCTGGGTACGTATGTGTGGGGCAGAGCTATCAAAATAGGGGCGAAACTCTTTTGGGATAGGGGCGTGTTTGTTTTGGTGATTTCAAATGTCAACATTGGCTACCAGAAATCGCTTACCCTGCCTTTAAAACTTCAGCATCAATATTTTATATGATTTACGATAAAAATAGTAAATTATTATTTTGTGTGAGCATGCTTAATCAAACTATTTATCATTATTTATCATTATATATAAAGAGAACACATATTGTTCAGTCGCAGCAGCTCCATTTATTTGTGGCGACAGGAATGCACAAAACAACTCTATTAGGGCTTTTAGGTCCAAATGCGTACACATACAACACTACAGAAAAATACTGATAGACCCTTGTATGTTTCCGTCAAATTTATTTAGAAAAAATTAGCATTTATAATCATTTTCCACAATGCATGTAATCTGAGGAGGTTTGACCGCCATCCCGTCTCACTGTACTGTTATCCTTTCAGCCAAAGCAACAGAGGGAGCTCACAGACAGAAAATCAGAGTTACACAGAGTATATGAAATGTATGACATAAGCAGATGTAGAAGTCGGGTATAAACAAAGACACATGGAAGAGGCAGAAATATTAAACCAAATACATGATTATAATCATATATGATTTGTCTAAGTTCTTCAAGCGGTCTCTGGTATTTTCTTTATCATAACGTGTTCTTATTATAGCGATTGCTAGCATGCAGCCTTTAGCATCGCGTATAATACATTTCTGCAGAATTCCGATCAGGTCGCAATCGTAAGTTAATTCAGAAAGTCACTAGTGTCTGAAGGTGAGTTTTGCCATTAAAATTGTTTTAAATGTCTTAAATGTTGATGCTAGTTGATTGCTTGATATGAAAACATGGGAAATGAACAGCGGTGCCGACCGTCTCTAACCCGGAAAAACACCGCCTTTGTTCATGACCACTCCTCTAGCCCCACTTGGCCTGCTTTGGCCCAAGGTATTTGGCGGGCCGAAAATCCCTGGCCATTGGCCCCGAGGAAGCCCAGACGAGGCACGATCAAGCCCCAGAAATGACAGTGGAAATGCGACTGGCACTGACACACACTAGCACGCTCAAAGTGGAAACACAGTTTATGTGTGCTTAATCCAGCCCTGCATACTTGGCTACACGTCACATCACTTTTTTTTAACCAAAAGTTAGTAGTATTGGCCCGGCCGTGCACTTGACATCCTCATGGGCTATCTACAGTACTAAATCAATTTAATCACAATGCACAGCTACTTTAGAATAACCTTAAATGGAGAAAATGCCATAGATCCAGATGATTGATAAGGAGGTATAAGGAGGTCATTCTAACCATCCAAACCTTGACCCTTGATTTTAAAAACACATCCACCATGAGGGGGTGACCTGCCTTATGTAGAAAATATATTTGTTGAAAGTATGGATAAATTCTTTACAGGAAAAACTTTTATACAGTGTCTTTCTCTGCATGCTCCTGCTTAAATATGTCTCAGGTCAGTGATCAAATAGCAGTACCTGTGTGAATCTCTGAAAATCTAGTACCTTTAGGCAAAACCATTAGAAAAAATAGCAGATAGTCAATGTTTGGCCTGTAGCCTGATTTCATGTACTGTATGTCTCTACCCATGCTGTCTTGACAAACAAGGCTTTGGCTGTAACTGGAAATTCAAGTCTAACTGATACATGCAGAGACACTATAGGAACATGCTTTACTGGCACTACATTTCTCACAGAAGACTTATTCACATGGCACAGCTCTAGAACAGTCTCTTAATCATCCAGGCCACCCCATAAACCCATAAAACAAATTTAAAACCACTTGAATGACTCTTCTTTCAAACTTTTTTCTATTTAGCCACAACCAGATGAATGGCAATTTCTGTTGTGGTTCAGAAGTCTATGACCACCACAACCAGTTGTTGAGATGCTGCTCAGGTCATCTCTACAACCTAACACGTTTAAGTGGGGAAACAGAGTGCTGTGGAAACCATCTGCTGGAATATAAGACACAAACTTGCTGTTCTTCCTCAACCAATGCCATAATTTATGACACCAAACCAAACCACCATTGCTGTGGGCATTTCTATTACAACAAGTCCCTGTGGAGCTGCTGTGCTGAACATCTCAAACCAACACCAACGCCTAACAGCTCTCCTGCAGAATACAGGCTTAAACCACTAATGGACCTGATCCCTGAAATGTGCAATAAAACAGGTGATGTTCTTGAACATTTATTGTGGTGCAACCTAAAATACCAAACTTTTTTTTTGTACGTTGACCAAATTGTCTGTGTGTGTGTGTGTGTGTGTGTGTGTGTGTGTTTCTAGTGATCTTTGGCAAAGTGGAGAGTTTGGCACTTGAAAATGATCAGCGTCATGTGGTGTTAAAAGTTGTGTGGCAGGTCAACGTGAAATCGGAAAAGGTCATCAAAGACCCTTGGCTTCATGTGTCCCTGCATCACTGCAGCTCTCCTGCCACAGAGAACGGCATGATCTACCTTTGGGAGGAAAACCATGATATGAAGTACAAGCTTCTCTCTCACCCTGTTGACCTAACCTCTGACATTCACATGTTCTATGCTGTATGTTACCAAAAGAAGGGATAGAAATATGGATTGAGGTCTACAGTATATATTTTAAGTGGCACTGCATGACCTAATAAGCATTTTTTTAAATCATGCTGTATATTATCAGTCTCAGGTCTGTTCCAATTCTGATCAATTGTTTTTAACAATTTGACAAGTTCAAGGGCATTCACATACTATAGCTCAAAGGTGCTCAAACGCAATTAATGGCTTTTATCCTAATCCTTGAAGACAGTGGTTATTTCATATAATTTTTTATATTTTAAAATGTTAATATAACAACAGCTCAAATATAAGCTTCATGTAGCTATGCATTTATTTTTAATATTATTATTTATCATTGAATTGCTTTTTTTTTTTTTTGACCAGTTTACAGGTTTGTTACTACTTGCCAAACAGTTATCCTCATTCATTAACCATGCATACATCAAATTTCTGTAAAATCTGTGTACACACATTATAGAGAAATCTCGATTCATCAGTAAATTTGCACTAAAATGTATTCTAAATGTATGACTTAATTTAGAGACAATCATACATCACTGTTAATATGAATTTTCCTTTATCTGTCTATCTCATCTCATCTGTCTGTCTAA